TACAACAAACAATGTCTTATCTCGCAATCAAACAATGCTTTTGCTACAAGCAACCTAGGTCATGTCCTACAAGATTGGAGATGGTTTGCGTTGATGATACTTGTCCATGGCATTTGACTGCTCAAGTCATCAAGAATTCAGAATGTTTCAAAATCACATCGTATGATTCCACCCATACGTGTGACGTCGACACTCGGAAGAATTATAATAAACATGCTAGTTATAAGCTTCTCGGAGAGGTAGTGAAGAGCAGATACAGTTCTACGCAAGGGGGTCCGAGAGCTGTCGATTTACCACAGTTGCTCCTAAATGATCTCAATGTTCGGATTTCATATTCTACCGCTTGGAGAGCTAAAGAGGTTGCAGTGGAAAATGTAAGGGGGGATGATATAAAAAGTTACAGGTTTTTGCCTACCTATTTGTATCTCCTTAAATTAGCTAATCCGGGTACAATAACTCACCTACACTCTACACCTGAAGCTGATGGTAAGCAGCGCTTTAAGTATGTATTTGTCGCTCTCGGGGCTTCTATAAAAGGTCTGAAATATATGAGGAAGGTAATTGTCGTAGATGGAACGCAGCTAGTAGGACGTTACAAAGGATGTCTCCTCATTGCATGTGCCCAAGACGGGAACTTCCAAATATTTCCAATAGCTTTTGGTGTTGTTGATGGTGAGACTGATGCTTCATGGGTGTGGTTCTTTGATAAATTAGCTGACATTGTTCCAGACAGTGAAGATTTAATGATTGTATCGGACAGACATTCTTCTATATATAAAGGCCTCAGTGTGGTTTATCCGAAAGCTCATCATGGAGCATGTGCAGTACACCTTGAGCGAAATATCTCCACCTATTATGGTAAGTATGGTGTATCTGGATTATTCTTCAGCGCTGCTAAAGCTTATAGGGTGAGGGATTTTGAAAAATACTTCGAACAGTTAAGGGCTAAGAGTGCTGGATGCGCAAATTACTTAGAGGAAATTGGATTTGAGCATTGGACAAGAGCTCACTGTAAAGGGGAACGCTACAATATCATGTCTAGCAACAACTCAGAGTCTATGAATAATGTCTTAACAAAAGCCAAATCATATCCGATTGTGTACATGATAGAGTTCATTCGAGAGGTCCTAATGCGATGGTTCGCAGCGAGGAGGAAAAAAGTGTCTAGGTGTAAGTCTTTAGTGACGCCTGAGGTTGATGAGCGTTTTCTCCAAGATTTGCCTGCCTCAGGGAAATACGCGGTGAAGATGTCTGGACCGTGGAGTTATCAAGTTACAAGCAAGTCAGGTGAGCATTTTCATGTCGTCCTGGACGAGTGTACGTGTACGTGTCTTAGGTACACAAAGTTAAGAATCCCATGTGAACACGGTCTAGCAGCTGCAATCGAGTTTGGAATAGATCCGAAGGTTGCTGTCGGATGGTGGTATGGCCTTCAAACGTTTTCCGATTCTTTTCAAGAACCCATTCTACCTATCGCGGATCCGAAGGATGTTGTCATCCCACAACATATATCGGATTTGATACTAATTCCTCCATACAGTAGACGACCACCAGGAAGACCAACAACCAAAAGGATTCCATCTAGAGGTGAAAACCGGGTAAGTGCTATCATTCAAACCTGTAGTCATTTTTCAAATATCCCTCAACATTATGTTTTGAGTATAAGATGCGTAGATTATTAACTTATTGTTGTTGTCACTTCAGAAAAAGAGACAGAAAAGACTTATTCCGAATCAGTGCACACGATGTAGACAAGCAGGTCATAACAAGAAGACTTGCAAAAATCCTATTTAGTTCTCCTCACAAGTTTTTTGTCGCCGCGAAGACAGTGTACGTTTATGTGTGGACCGTGTGTACCAAAGTGTTTTGACGGTGTACGTACGTTTAGTAGTTGCCATCGTATAACTATGTTGTTTTTTGTTAGTGTACGTTTTTGTTAGTGTACGTTTTTGTTATGTATGTGTACGTATAATCTTCATGCAAAAAACGGTTACAAACGGTTACACACATTTGTATCTCAACCGTTGGAACACTTTCGCCCTACCCACTGCGTCCGTTACGGAATTTCCTTATTTAAGCCACATCTCCTCCTCAATTTTATCCACGTTCCTTCAAACGAAAACCCTTTCACATTCGGCAGTTACATCAATCACACACAAAGTCTTCCGACTGTTCTTACTAACCGTGTGATGGACGGGTATCATACCATCTCCGAATTGTGTCCTCAGATCACTGGGTGGACAATTTGTGTATTTGTCGTGAGAGTGTTTAAGAAGTTTGTTGCGCCCAACGTCTTCGAACTCGGCCTTATCTTGGCAGATTCTTCGGTAGTTTCCCTATGCCGTGTTTCTGTTTTTTTATCATACATCAGGTTCAATTGTATATAAAATATGTTATATATCATACTCTGTAGGGATCCCGTTCCCGAATTGAGGCCACCATTGATCGTCGCCTTGCTCCTTTTTACCTAGACCGAATCAAAGAAAATGAGTGGAAAATTGTAACCACTTTCTTGGTCCGTAAAGTCGCTGACCCAGTGAGAGCAACATCTCATGACTACGGAATATGGTTTATGGATCGGACCGTCGTTACTAACGCCTTACCAAGGGACCCAATATCGTTTTACGATTTCACTCAATTCGACTACATTTTGGAGAAAACAGTTGATAAGAACGTTTTAGTCGGTGAGATGTTTTGTAAGTTACGTTTTTATGGACACATTTTTGAAATTTTAAGTTTCTTTTTCTATTTTTTTGTCCTTGCTGTAGATGTCATTGGAGCGTTGGTGGAGGTTGGCCACTTGACCGGAGACTTCTACGGTCTCAAGCTTCCTTTCAAGATCAAAGATAGATAGTAAGTGTTCTTTTGACATTTTATTCACTTACACTTTTTAATCTAAACGCTTACTTCATTCTTCTTTTAATCTAATGTAGCAACGAAGTTTTGGAATGCGAAGCACACAATGAACAGGCGTTGGAATTCCAAACCTTCTTCCGGAGTCTAGGTCAGCGCAATGTTGTTGTCGCACTCGTCTTCTGGCGTTTAACCGACAGAGCTAATCCGAAGGTTGTGAGTCATGGTCCTGTGTCAAAAGTCTTTGCCGATTCGGACACACCGGAAGTGGAAGAGATCAAGAATGTCGTTTTTTAGTTAGGGGGATTTGTTTTCACCTGTCTTGTTATTATTTAATACAAGATTTATATTAAGTATTGTTTATTAAACTACATAAAGTTGTTGTCGGTTTCAAATTACTTGACATTGAATAATAAACTATTGGGTAACTGTACGTACATTTTATACGAAAACCGTGTACAATTACAATTAATTTGCCAGTGTACGTTTTACTAGCTTTTTGGTTCTTCAAACAGCAAAGTGTACGAAACCCGTGTACGTAGACCAAAACATACATATATCATAATTTTTGTCCTCAAACAACAAAAAACTTCATTCATTCATAATTAAGTGCCCGAAGAAGGACATACAATGCAGAAAGACAAACAGCTTATATTAGATGCGGAAGCAATAAACTAAAAAGTAGAGCCCGAAGCATACACATGACCCGGAAAATTGTATGCCTCATCCGTCATATCGAAGTCATATCTAATAGAAGACACACATCTCCCTCGCGTACCAGTAAAAGAAGCACCCTCTGCAGCCGGAACTGTACGTGCAAAGGCCAACACATGCCGGTGTGTGCACATACCTCCATGAGCGTTGCCAGAGCCGAGGACCTTCGGTGTGAAGCTGGCTTATGTGATACATCACCAGCTCTCCCACTGCGTGAGCTGCCGTGATCGTGGGTGTCATCGCCCAGAACATATCGCTGACAGGCAGGAAGTCCTCATGGTTCCCCGTACAGGTTAGGAACAACCCGTTCGCGAAACAGGCGTAAGGATCGGATGGTGCGACGGAGTTGAGTAGTGTTAGACCGTGGGCGACGGTTAGGAAGTTGCTGGCCTGCCGAAGACCTTCAAGGTATATCGCCGGGATCGCACCCCTGTCCAGCAATAGGCTGAAGTAGGCACGGAAGGGAGACTCTGGCTGAACGAAGTGCGGCCAAGTCATGAACTCGTCCATCACTATGGCGTTCACGTCGCTTGCGTTGACCAAGTAACGGAGTGTCTCAATGGGAGTCTGGCTCACTGGAAGGTAGTTTACGAGGATGCTAATCGGGTTTGGCAATTGTATTGCAAGGTACATCTCGGTTGGAGGGGTTGCGGGGAAAGGCATGTTGCACGCAGGGGGTTTAGAAATATTTCTGTAGTTGATCAATGAAGGAGGTTTTAAAAGAAGTTGAGCGAATAAATAAGTGTGTGGGATATCGTTTTTATAGGGGAGAACGACTTGAATGTAGGTGGTTGGTCATTTTGGTGGGATATTAAGTGCATAATAAACGGGGTTTTTAAAAATTTATTTGTGTACATATCATAAAGAAACCGTGTACGTATGTCTACACTAATTACGTTCTCTGACTAAAAGTTTTGAGTTGATGTCTGTCGCCGAATTAGGAGAAAAGATTGAGTTCATGTATATGGCTAAATCTGGGGGGAACGCATTAATAACCAAATCTCTTTCTTTTGCAATTTCGTTTTATCTGACAAAAGACAGTATACATTAATTGCAAAATTTGTACGTATATATGGGGATATTATTATTTTTTTTTAAAAGATAGAGGTCATTTCTATGGCTAAATCAGGACAGTAGGTAATTAATGATAATTCGTAAGCCTGTATAGATATGGGTTTATTCCATGTCAAATCAATTAAATTCACATTTCTCTCATATTTGTAGTTTGATACCTACCAAAAACTGTGTACAATAAATAAAACTCGTGTACGTATATGTTAGTCGATTTTAATTTTATAAGGAATAATTGATTTGATGGCTTGAGCTAAAGTAGGGGAGTAGGAGGTATTAAATACGTGTGCCGAATTTCTTTAACTATGAGTGATACCGGGTCATATCACTCAAATACAAGGCATCATTATCTAACATAAAGAAACTCGTTTCTCATTTTACTATAAAATATATTACAATTATTTGTAACCATTCATAAGATTGAGTATTATATGATAAACAAGCAAGGATGTAGATAAAAAGACATGCATTACTGATAATCAAAGTACAATTGGAAAGGCCACATATTATAACATAAAAACTTAGAAATTGAGAGAATATTACGTAAGAACTGCCTAGAGAATTTGACTAATTCTTCTTGCACACCACCAGAGGTAACATACGTTGCAAACATTCTTGAATGGTCCAGATCTGATGTAACACAGCATCGCGCAAGGAGGCGTTCGAATACCACGTTCCTCAGGGTACGAAAAGGTTGCGCCGTATGTGTTGTTTAACCTAATTCCATATTTCTTTATTTCTTCTAGGAGTTCCTCACACATGTCACGTGTATCTTCTGATTCCAAAGCGTAATGGTTGTTTGCGAACATGCGCAGGTACACACCACCCATGTGAGCATTGCCGTCGCATATGCACAGAATTGCGCATGCCAGGGTTGCATCGGCGTGCCTTGGTACATTCCGCTGTAAAAGTACAATGGCGCCCTTAATGTCAGACTCATGGGTAACTAGACGCAGTCCTTCATGGTAAATAGCAATCGGGTTACCAGCCTCTAGACACCTTTTGAAAAAGGGTCTATATCGACCTTCAGCGTTGATGTCGTTCGGATCATGGCCTGCCGCATGGAAGTCATCGGGATCACTGCACATGCTGTAAATATTAGCATCTTTCAGGACATCCGGCCTGTAGACAATGTTTCTTCCACGAGGCCCTGATCTTAAGAGAGGTCCGAGGTACCACCAACATTTGTCAGCCATTATTTTGGCTATCTTGGCTAGCAAATCATCAGGTAGATTTGGTGTAGTCATTTATTGGAATTAGGTGTTTCAAAAACAATGCAATTCCTACCCTTAAATAAAGAACAATGTAGTTAGTTGGGTAAGTTATGGTTGTATTTAATGCAATCTTACGTAAGTGATGATGCAGTGAGGGAGAGTTGTCAAATCATTGTAAGTAAGGAAATATTTATCTTATTAGATTGGGTGGTGGTCTTATGAGAAAAATCCACTCTTTTCTAAAAGACGTACGTTATATAAGATGTACGTACACATGTTGGTTTTTGAATAAGTGTGCGATGGGCAGATTGTTTAGAGAAGATAGTTATAACGATTACATAATTATTTTTAGGATCTCCATAATTAATTACGTTGTTCAACATAGGTTGTTCAAAATTAGGGAATAAGTACTAGGGAATAATAATATTTCAACATCCAGGGATGATTACAATAAGCGCCGATTACCACCCTCGCGCTTGCCGTGCTCGTAGATTTCTGTTGCGTACACCTGACAGTAGATGGCCATATCTGATTCTTGAATATTCACCAAGTCTGACATTGGGTTACCAAACGCCAGCAACTCCAAGAACTTCATTGCGTAAGGACCGCAATCTCCTGTACTTGGGTTTTGAGCGACGTTCAAATCTCTCTCATAGCCAAAAGGTTCAACAGAGTATGTCTGAGGCAATACATCCGTGCACATCGCTCTCACTAGGTACGGCATCATCTCGCAGACAGGCTTCATCTTTGACCATGCAACAGACTCCCGCGTGTAATCTATGAAAGCGTCATAGACAATTATATGCCGGGCTCTGAGGTGGATTGCCAAACCAACCCAATGATCACCTTTCCAGTTCATCGGAGCATATACCACGTCGACATCCTTGATCCACCGAAGACTAGGTTCACGGTGTATGTGTATTCCATTGGCAATGTCGTATAGCCGTTGGCCCCATTTGAACCCCTGCTTATTTATACAATTGTTGAAGCTGACAGCACGCTTAGTAAGCTCATAAAGCAGGAAGGAGTCCAAAACAACGCATCGGTTTTCTATCATTTGTTGACCGTTCTTGTGCCACATCAACATTGCGAGCATTTCCAAGTGCTGAAATGATGATATCATATACAGTCAGTGTACGTACACAATAGGCATATTTTAAAAATGTACATAAATTGTGTGTACATGCAGGCGAGTGTACATAAATGTACTATTTCAACTTACCATATTATCCACCCAGTTTCCTTGTTTTACAAGCATGGAGAAAAACTCGTTGTCCACTTTGCGATACCCGAAAAGAGTGTGCTTCCTGTAAATCCAATATTATAGTATGAGTTGTTGTTGTAGAAAACCAATTTTTCAATTAAGGGATAATTTTGAAAATGCAAGATACTTACACATTCTCTCCATCGAGGACATTGGTTAAGAGCTCTAATTTGGAAGCGTCAACCTTGTCCAGGGGGTTGAAAGGGACATTTCCAGGCGCTATAAGCAGCTCTGAATCTTCAGTTCGTTCTGGAACATCCTCCACGAGGACTGTTGTTTCCTTAAAACCTTCAGGAAGGGCTTCATCCATCTCATAAACTAGTTGCTTCTTCACTTTTTTAGGTACAACCGGCGTAGGAATTTTAACTGCTATTGCTTCGAGTGCAGCATCGTTGTTTGGTTCATCCTGTAAAGAAGTGTTATTGTAAACACCATGATTAAACAATTTCAAAATGTAATTGATAATATTTACTGGCAAGATACTCACAATATTTTCAGGTGTACCAACTGTTGTGTCTGCTTCATCTAACCCTGGGTTTGAATCCTCTTGTTCTTCTACCCCGGCGACAATCCCCTGCTCCTCCAACACTCCCTTTTCAAATTAACGTACAGAATTATTTAAATGTACGCATACAATCCAATGTACGTATGTTAATAACTGTGTATAATTTTAAACCAACCACGAGATTTTTACCTCCTTTACATTAGCTGCATCCAAATCCATGGAGGCTGTTGTTTCCAACTCCTGTAACACCTGCATAGTAGAAGATTATAAATTTAAACAAGCCTACACTATTTTATTTAAAAATATAGTTAGCTTACATTCTTAACTACTGCAAATGGTGAAGGGGGATCACTAGGGGTGCCCTGAAGTACTGAGTCATCCACTTTACACTCTGGAACTACTTTGGGTACATCTCCCGCATCAACCTGTAGCAGTAGTTATCAATTTCATCGGATATCTCCTCTATTTAGTTCTGGCTGAAACAATCATTACTTATACGTACACGGGAAATAAGAAAGACAAATGTACGTACACTTGTGCCGGGTTCCTCGGTGTGTTCAGCCTGAGAAGATGTATCTCTGTCATTATCCACACCAATTTCTGGTTCCTCCCCAACATTTGCTTCACTCTCAACGCCGGCACCATGTTCTTCTCCCTGAAACAAATATACCATACACGTCTTAAGCTTTATGTGAGTACACATATAGAAAACTACATTTGACTATTAGCAGACATATACCTGTCCAGATGTTGCAGGTAAACCAGATGGATTTTCTACCATCTCTGTGTCAGCAGTTGATTTTCCATCTGTCCCTGACTGTGTACCAACTACGACAGGCTCACCACCATCAATTGGGCCTTTATCCTAAAACATAGTATACCATACACTTCTTAAGCTATATGTACGTGGAGAACTGAAAATAATTGATACGCGTACACTTATGGAAAACAGTATGTGACTATTAGCACAAGACATACCTGTGCAGAGGTTGAAGGTACAGGAGATGGAATTTCTTCCATCTCTGTGTCAGCACTAGCTTTTTCCTCGGTCCCTGACTGTGTACCAACAAGGACAGACTCACCACCATCACCTGCTCCTTCATCCTGAAACATAGTATACCATACACTTCTGAAGCCTATGTGTACGTACACAACTGAATAATAATTGATAAAAATATTTGTACACGACATACCTGATGGGAAGGTGTAGGTCCACCAACTGAAATGTTAGGTACTCCAGTCTCAACCATATCTTCGTCTCTGTTAGAAAAATCGTGTCCAGCATTTGCAGTAAAACCACCTTCATTGTTGGCTTCATCCTGTACCATAGCAGACAAGTTACAGTTATTAATCTGAATGTACGTACATATGGAAAAATACTATATATAAATGTACGTACATGCCATACCTTGTCATCTTCCTCAGAGGACGAGTTATCATCAGAAAGCTCAGTAATCTGCATAGCTGACGTCATTATATTATTCAGCCTTGAAGACTTTCTTGTTCCAGACTTGAAGACTTTCTTTGTAGACATCCTTTTAGATGCCTTCTTCACAGTAATCGGTGCCTTAACCACCGATTTAGTTGGGCTGGGTGAAGCATGGGAAGTTTGGGTTGGTTCTGTCTTTTTGCCCTTTGGATCTAGGGCAGCACGTATCTCTTGACGGACAAAGTTCTTCAAGTCTTCTTGCATTTGTTTATTTTGTGCTTCCTGCCTCCTGAAACACCTCCTAAGTTCGACTACAAACTTCTCAAACTGGGGATCTTCAGAACAATCCTCAGCAGTTTCCTCATTTTCATCTTCCACAACAGATTTCTGTTTTTTCAAAACAGGTGCATTCGGGCCTCGTACATTTCTTTTCCTCTTCTTCACATCTACGATAGATCAGTTTAATCATTGATTGGTCTTCAAGGGACAATAATCAGAGAGTATAAAAACAACATTTACACTCACGTATCTCTCCTAGTTGTGGTGGGCGCTCCTGCTTTGGGAATGCAGCTGAACCTCCAACCCATTCTTCCTCCTGCCACTCATGACCAGCTAACATCAGTCGCTCAATGTAAGCAACTCTTGGATCCTCAACTTCATCATCCCATGACAGGGATGGAGGGCAAATATTGTCATCTGGTTTCACAAGATAGGTTACCTCAACCTACACGAATAAGTTTGTTAACCACTTAGAGAATGTACACTTACTTTTTAAATAATGTACGTACATAAAAAATTGTACATACCTCTTCAGCAGCCTCACAGGCCAAGATGGTGGATGTCCTGATTGGCCGCAGTGAGGCAAGATGATGGATAGACCTCTGAGTAAATGTCCTGTTCGCTTCGTCATCAGGTGCTAGCTTAGCAAGGGATGGGATTGTTTCAAACGCAAAGAGCTGGAGTGCTAATGGGAATCCTTGTAGTGCATAAGACCCATCCTTTACACACCTTATCAGTTTTTTAACATCTGAAGGGGTTTGGAAGTTTGCTATCCTCTCCAAAGTACGGGTAAAAGACAGCCTTCCCCATGGGTATTTCAAGAAGAACTTCACGTTCTTCGTCATCTCGACAGTCGTATCTTGAGGCCTGATGGGGTTTTTACCGCAGGCTATCACACCATCTACCAGGATTATAAGTGATAGAGCCAGTTGCTTCCACCCATCCATGGATTTATCCTCCTTCAGCCAGGCCACCAAATCCTGCACTAATGGAGTCGCATTCTCCCCAAACCTGTCCACAAACAGAGCATCCCAGACTTTTTTACACCCAGGTTTAACCTTTAGCACAGCCTCCACTTCTTTCTTCTTGGGATACACCCCACATTCCAGCCCAGTTACAATACTAAATTCTCTTAGTCCAAATTTGATTGGATGACCGCCGAAAACCATCCACATCTCATTCACTTTCTTTGTCACTAACTGACGGCATATTAATCCAAGCACAAGCTTACCTGAGAAGGAACACTTGTTAGCAGGTATTCCAAAAAGGTACCCAAATGGAGAGTCGAGAAGCATCTGCATCTCAGCTTTTCCCTTAAGAACTTCCGCTATGTCAGAAATGTACTCCGGTTTGGAGTACGCGTTCATCTTCGTCTTCGAAGGGTACCGGTCTAGAGCAAAGAGTCTTGGTGGTAACTCTTCAACTATAAGATCTTCAGTCGGAGCAACACTTGTACTGCCTGAAATTACAAGTGATATACAATTAAGTAAGGATGTAAACAATACGAATTCGTGTACGTACACAAGAATTATCAACATTATATACTCAAAATCTGAATTTTGGCGGAAACAGAGATTTCCAATTCAACTTCAAACATTTTCAACCTACAGATTTAGCAAAATCCGGCAACTTCTATGCCTTAAATCAAACAAGCTTTAAGATTCCGATACACCCAAAGAAACTACAAACGAAATAATATCAGAACTTACCCAATTCCTCCGGCGGCTTTGTCGGAGGGAGTTTCCTCCTCGGGGATACTCTGAGTTCCCCCTTGTCCTTCTCGGGGCCTTCCTGCGTATGCTTCTTCCTCGAGACTACGTCGTTTGGTTTATTCCCATCCATCGCGAAGGTTGGTATCTCGCCGGAGTTTTCTCAGTTCCTCTTCGCCGGAAAAACTGCAACTTTCTGTTCGCCGGTTTTCGGAGTTCAATGCGATGCCTCAAATCAAGTAGCCAACAATTCGATCGGTGATGTCGAAAAACGAAGATGATGGATGAATGAATTTCGACTTCTCTCTCGAATCTCTCAGTCTCTCACTCGTTCTTCTTCTTCGTTTTGCTTCTAGGTTTCGTGCACAGTTAATTTTTTTTTTTTTTTAAATTGAAAACGTAAAAGAAATTAAAAGAAACTAAACCGATACATGTAAAACAAAGAAAATGCAACTAAACCGAAATTAACTGTGCACGTTTGGTTTTCCCCATTAGGGGTATTTTCGTCAGTTTTTGGCTTAACTGCCATTTGGTGATCACGAAATCTCACTTTGCCAAAAGCTGAGACCAAATCTTTTTTTCACCATAAACGTGAAAATTTCTTTAGTTTGTATATATACAACGGAATAAGCTAAGTCAAGTCAAAGTGGAGGATATGACCATCGGTAACATCACCCATATCAGGTTTGACCTTCCCTTTCGTAAGATTGAGCAAAACAAAAACCAGAAACTAAGAAAATTGGATTGTATTATAAGCATAGAAAGTTTGAAATTGCAGTATGAATCAGAAAACATAACCAAGTTGCATGAGAAAATATATTTTACCAACTTTAGCAAACGAATCATTAACTAAATTATACAGGAGAGGATTGAGCATCTAGAAAATTTAAATGAACAAGAGGACACTTTAAACAATCAAGAGGGCATAGAACACAACCTTGGAATTAGCTTGTAACGGTATTCTTTTCCTCTTCTTTCGCTGAATAAAACTGCAGCACATGACAGCGAAATATGATACTTGGTTGCATGTTGGTTGTGATAATAAGTACAGTGAAGCAAATGAAACCTCTCTTCTCTTTTCAGCTCGTTGGTCACATCTAAAACTGAACACATAATTTGGAAGTGCACTACCCCGACCGAGGTTTCCCATCTTCTTCTTTTGGACTACTATAAAGTAAGTAGGTTTTAATCAGAAAAAAAAAAGTGCATCCAAAAAAGAAATACTTGGAAGACTGTGTATCATCTTCAGATGTATCGCTATATCATTGACTTGTTTCCTTGTTGCCTTCAGTTTTGGCTTGTCCCTGTATCGAAGAGAGAAACAAACTACCAGATTCAAAGACAGGAACTACTACATATCTTGGTGAAATTTTTGCGTCAACCGTTTAGAATTTTCTGCAATAAACCGAAGCAAAAGCTCAAGTGTTCAAGGCCATGCAAAAACAGAAACCATGTTTTTAAGAATGATATTGGTACCTGGTCCCTTCAGCTGGTGTAGAGTCATTCTTCCCATGCTGATATGAAAAAATGAAGAGATCAGAGACAATTCTCAGCCAAAAGACACATGGCTAATCACCAGTAACAATACTAAAGAAACAAAATTATTAAGAGAATTTGCACTGAGGTCAAGCATCTTTGGAGCAAACAGAGAAATTAGTAACCTTCGTGACATGAGCCTCTCTAACGTTGAGCGATTTGCTCTTAGGATACTTTACTGGAGGTACGTTTGGAGCAACCGAACCATTTGATGCCACCACTTTCCTATCTCTTTTCTTCTTCACCAAGACTGATGGAATATTCTTGCCCCCAGAGGTCTTCTCATGCTTGACTTTTCCTTGCACCTTTTGTCTACTCATCTGTTTTGAATCATCCACTTGTTCATTTTGTGTGCCCTGGAAAAAGCGAGAAAACTGCAATGTCACTAACAAGGATTTGTGCAAAAAGGGCAAAGCAAAATGTGAAAATTTCTAGTCTCCAACCTCAGAAGCCTCCATATGATGCGGTCATCAACCCAAGAACCAACCATGGAGAAGATTATGGGCGAGAAACAACAACCCAGGAGCAGCCAAGTGGGATTTTTAACCAAGTTTTATCCAAAACTTCAGGCCAAAGCTATTGGGAGAACCGGAGATCGACCGAGATCGACGGTCGAGATGATCGTCCAAGAATATGGAAATCATGAAGATCGAGAAGAATCTAGAAGTTATCATATCTTAAGTTTAAGAAGTTTAACATTATCTTTAAATATATTATTTACATTTATATTTATCTTAGATTAGAAAATCTCATCTCTATATAAGAGAATGTAATTTATAACTTTATTCTCATGAGAGTCTATTATAATTCTTCCTAAACACTTTTGTGTTCTTTACTCTCATCAATTTATCATGGTATCAGAGACCAAAACCTAGACTACTACAAGGTTTTGTGATCGATCCTGCAATCTCTCTTCCGCTACAAGAGATTCAGTTTTCTTAACAATCTCCGATGACTACCGAATCAGCTCTTGCTACGACAACAGCACCGGCCGTTGTTTCAACTCGACGAACAATCTCACCATATGACCTCACCTCCGGACACAATCCAGGAACTTTAATCTCTAAGCCACTGCTGCGTGGACCCAACTACGACGAGTGGGCCACTAACCTCCGGTTAGCCTTGAAAGCAAGAAAGAAGTTCGGCTTTGTTGACGGATCTATTGCGCAGCCTGTTGAAACGGATCCTGATCATGAAGATTGGGCTGCGAACAACGCTCTCATCGTCTCTTGGATGAAACTTACCATAGATGAAAGTTTGTCAACCTCAATGTCTCACCTTGATGATGCTCACGATCTTTGGACTCATGTTCAGAAACGATTTGGGGTTAAAAATGGACAGCGGGTACAGAGACTCAAAACAGAATTGGCTAATTGTCGTCAGAAAGGTGTGCCAATTGAAACATACTACGGCAAGCTATCTCAACTATGGAGAAGTCTCGCAGATTACCAGCAAGCTAAGACTATGGAAGAAGTGCGTAAAGAACGCGAGGAAGACAAACTGCATCAATTCCTCATGGGGCTAGATGAGTCCGTGTATGGGGCGGTTAAATCTGCTCTTCTCTCTAGAGTCCCACTGCCCACACTCGAAGAGGCCTACAACGTTTTAACTCAAGATGAAGAGTCAAAATCACTGAGTCGTTTAAATGATGACAGGAATGAAGGAGTAAGCTTCGCAGTTCAAACTACATTAAGAACCCGAAGCTTCCCAGAAAACAGAGCAACATCGGAGACGAAAGTGTGCTCTTATTGTGGTCGTCTAGGCCACCTCGCTGATTATTGTTTTAAATTGGTTGGTTATCCTCCATGGCTCGAAGAAAAGTTTCGAATTAAAAACAATACTGGTCGTGGCGGACACTCATCAAATGGTACTGGTCGTGGCTCTCACACAAACCCGACGTCTTCTTACAAACCAAAACAGAACACCGGTCGTGGAGCTGCAGCTAATCATATGTCTTCTTTCGAAACTCCATCCACTGCACCAATAGGCTTGTCATCTACCACTTCAATTACGGATGCTGATCGTATTGGTATAAGCGGATTGAGTGACGTGCAATGGGAGAATCTCAAACAACTGCTTGATGAACGCAGCCGCACCACCACTGATCAAAAATCGGGTACGTTTTTTCTTGAATCTTGGATTATTGATTCAGGAGCTACAAATCATATGACGGGTACGCTGGATTTTTTGCGTGATGTGTGTGACATGCCTCCGGTTCTAATCAAACTTCCTGACGGACGTTTCACCACTGCTACTAAACAAGGCCGTGTCCGTTTAGGCTCGTTATTAGATCTTACTGCTGTGTATTTTGTTGACGGTCTTCATTGTCACTTGATCTCCGTTTCACAATTGACTAGAGCACGTCGATGTCTCTTTCAAATCACTGACAAAGTCTGTATTATTCAGGACCGCACCACAAAGATGCTGATTGGAGCTGGTAGGCAGCAGCACGGTTTGTATTTTTTTAGAGGAGTGGAAATAGCAGCGGCGATGACAACCACACGCTCATCATCTACTCAGCTGTGGCATCAACGTCTAGGACATCCTTCCTCTAAAGCTTTGAAGATGTTGCAGTTTTCGGATTTTTCTAGTAGTGATTTTGATTCTAAGCAATGCGAAATTTGTATTCGTGCTAAACAGACAAGAGATCCTTTTCCTTTGAGCAGTAATAAGACAAGTTTTTCTTTTGAATTGGTGCATTGTGATCTTTGGGGTCCGTATCGGACGACTTCTCTCTGCGGTTCAAGTTATTTCCTTACTCTTGTTGACGACTATTCACGGGCTGTCTGGCTATATCTCTTACCGTCTAAGCAAGCTGCACCCACACATCTTAAAAATTTTATTGCACTTGTTGAACGGCAATTCACTACAAAGATTAAGACAATCCGCAGTGATAACGGTTCTGAGTTTATTTGTTTATCATCTTTCTTCGCTCAACACGGAATTATACATGAGACATCATGTGTGGGAACTCCGCAACAGAACGGTCGTGTTGAACGTAAGCATAGACATATTCTCAACGTTGCTCGTGCTCTTCGGTTTCAAGCAGGACTACCGGTTGAGTTTTGGAGTTATTGTGCGCTCACTGCCGCCTATCTTATAAATAGAACTCCTACTCCACTTCTCCAAGGTAAGACACCGTTTGAATTGATCTACAACAGACCTCCTCCTATGAATCATATTCGAGTTTTTGGTTGTATTTGTTATGCTCATAACCAAAAACACGGGGGAGACAAATTCGAAAGCCGTAGCACCAAATCCATTTTTCTTGGCTATCCATTTGCAAAGAAAGGATGGAGAGTTTACAACATTGAAACCGGAGTCGTATCCATTTCCAGAGATGTCATTTTTAGTGAATCAATTTTTCACTTTCCAATCCCTGCATTTGACACCATGCCCGTGTCTTCCTCTGTTCCGATAATCTCATCGGAGGATGATGATTCAATTTTTGATCCACTGTCCGTACAGTCAGCAGATACGGCGTCTCCGCTACCAACTTCTCCGTCTCTAGAACCACTCACTGCTCCGGTACAGGTCACTTCTCCACCACCGGTTCCTGCTCGGGTCACTCCCGAGTTACCAAGTGCTGATACGACGGTCGTTGCAAAGTCGAATTCTCCCACTTCTTCAGATTCTTCTTTGTCTTCGCCGACAACCTTGAATCAGTCTTCTTCTTCCACCACAGCTCCGACCGCCCCTGAACAAGAGCTGCTTGGCAGAGGCAAACGCGCAAAACAACCACCGGTCAAACTAGCTGACTATGTCACTACATTACTCCATCAGCCGTATCCGTCCGCCACTCCATATCCGTTGGATAACTATATCTCTAGTTCCCAATTTTCAGACCACTACCAAGCTTATCTTCTTGCTATTACTTCAGGTCATGAGCCTACTAGTTATAAAGAAGCAATTCTTGATGAAAATTGGCGATGTGCGGTTTCTGATGAAATTGTCTCTCTTGAGGATCTTGGCACTTGGACTGTAGAAGACTTGCCTCCCGGTAAGAAAGCCTTGGGCTGCAAATGGGTGTTTCGTCTCAAATATAAATCCGATGGCACTCTTGAACGTCATAAGGCACGCTTAGTTGTTCTTGGAAACAATCAAACCGAAGGCGTTGACTATTCCGAAACGTTTGCTCCGGTTGCCAAAATGGTTACAATTCGTACTTTTCTTCAACAAGTTGCCTCACTATATTGGGAAGTTCATCAAATGGACGTCCACAATGCGTTCCTTCACGGCGATCTTGACGAAGAAGTTTACATGCAGTTTCCTCCGGGTTTTCGATCGAATGATAACACTAAAGTCTGTCGCTTACGGAAATCTTTGTATGGTTTAAAACAGGCTCCTCGTTGTTGGTTCGCTAAACTTACTTCTTCTCTCCAGGATTATGGTTTTACACAGGATATCTCGGATTATTCTTTGTTTACTATGGAGAGGAATGGTGTGCGTCTTCATGTTCTAGTCTACGTGGATGATTTGATCATAACAGGCTCTTCTATTATTGTGATTAATTCATTCAAGAATTATTTGAGCTCTTGTTTCAAGATGAAGGACTTAGGCGTTTTGAGATATTTTTTGGGAATTGAGGTTGCTCGGAGTCCTTCTGGTCTTTACTTGTGTCAACGAAAGTATGCTCTCGACATTATTACGGAAACGGGTCTGCTAGGTGTGAAGCCAGTTTCTCATCCGCTGCCGCAAAATCATAAGCTTGCTCTCGCTCCAGGTGATTCTCTCTCCGACCCATCTCGCTATCGTCGTTTGGTTGGGAGATTAATTTATCTAAGTAGCACACGCCCCGAGTTATCCTATGCTATTCACATCCTGTCACAGTTTATGAATGATCCAAAATCGGATCATTGGGAAGCAGCTCTTCGGGTTGTTAGATATCTCAAGTCAAGTCCAGGCCAAGGAATTCTACTCCGGTCCAACACATCTTTGGTACTCACCGGTTGGTGCGATTCCGATTTTGATTCGTGTCCAATTACACATAGATCTCTCACCGGTTGGTTCATTCAATTGGGTGGCTCTCCTATTTCTTGGAAAACAAAGAAGCATGACGTCGTCTCTCGCTCATCCGCTGAAGCGGAATATCGTGCCATGGCTGACACTGTTAGTGAACTTTTATGGTTACGTGCTTTGCTTCCGGCTTTGGGTATTCCGTGTACTGCGCCTATCATGTTATATTCCGACAGCCTCTCCGCTATCAGTCTCGCTGCAAACCCGGTTTATCATGCTCGTACTAAACATGTCGGCCGCGATGTTCATTTTGTTCGGGACGAGATTATCAATGGTACTATTGCCACAAAACATGTCTCTACAACGTCGCAACTTGCGGACATCATGACGAAGGCACTCGGCAGAAGAGAATTTGAAGCATTTCT